CTAGTTAAAAAGCAAAAAAAAACGTTTTCTTTCTCTAATTAAAAAGCACAAATATTCAACCATATTTTGGCTAGATCTGGCATCGATCCACTATTCCAAAAAAGTAATTCAGTGGTATAAGAAAAAAATAGTCAAATTTTGTTCCAAAGGATGCCAATCCACCAAATTGTCTTGAGTAGCGAGTTATCAAATCTTACTTGGCAATTGTGAAGGTAATATTGAGGAAAAGAAGCAAATGTAAAAATAGTGTTAAAAATTTTCGAGGTTTATGGATTTATGCTAAAAAAAAAGTGGCGCGAAGTAAAGTTGTGGTGATGATAAAGGGTACTTTATAAAAAAATAAATTACTTGCGCGTCGTAAAGTTGAGGATATATATTTATATTTATTTAAATAAAAATGAATTGTGTAAGCATCATTATAAAAAGAAAATCATTACAATTGTTTAAGTTGTCTTTGAGATAACTCAATTTAAAATCGTCCAATTTTCAACTGATCATAGTGATAGCAAATAATAATTATGAAACATGGCTTAATGATTAGTAATAGAGAAATAGCAAAGAAGTACAAAATTTCAGAAAGCCGCGTTAGATATACTCTAAAGACATTTAAAACAACATGTGGCGTACAACCTTATACGGGATCAGGAAGGTTAAAAAAAAACTACTGAGCGCAAATATAGTTTTATATTTCATCAAGTAAGAGCGAATCCGAGGTTGTTTTTTTTAATATATTTTACTGTTCATATAAAAATAAAATAATAAAATTACAATGAAACCTTTACGTTACACAAAGAATATATATAAAATAGAAAAAAAAGATACAGATGACTGGTGTCACTACAATATTTTCGTATAGCCCTTTTACAATAACATTTAAAGTCCACATGGCTTTATTAAATTTACAAGAAAGAATTTTTTCTGAAAAATACTACGTGAAGAATAAAAACTCATATATACATACATAATCATATATACATATACACATAAACACACACACACATATACAAACATACTTACATATATGTCATAAATTAAGAAGATGCAATTTCTTTTGCCGTTTAAAAGAAAAAGTGCTTTTCAAATTTTTTATATTGTTGTATTTTTAAATTGATTCTATAATGACGGTTGATAATGACGAACCTAGGCTAATAGTTAAGAATTTTGACACTTGCAATTTTACTCAAGTGTAAATTATTATGAACTCAACGACGCATTCAACGAAAACAGTGAAAAACGTATTTCGTTAAATACAATATAATATTTTACTAAGGAAAAAAATTGGTATCTATAAGCTGTTAGAAAACCTACGTTGATGGCCAGAGATCTGCTTAAAAGATTTTGGTAGTAAAAGCTGTTAGAAACCTACGTTGATGGCCAGAGATCTGCTTAAAAGATTTTGGTAGTAAAAGCTGTTAGAAAACCTACGTTGATGGCCAGAGATCTGCTTAAAAGATTTTGGTAGTAAAAGCTGTTAGAAAACCTATGTTGATGGCCAGAGATCTGCTTAAAAGATTTTGGTAGTGAAAGCTGTTAGAAAACCTACGTTGATGGCCAGAGATCTGCTTAAAAGATTTTGGTAATAAAACGAGAGAATTTGGAGGTTTTTGAAGAAGTGGAAGCAAGTTGTCAAAAGATTTCAATCGGAAAAGTATAGTAATCGCTTTGTTTTACCGAAGTTGCAAAGTGGCGGCGAGAGTGTTGGTATTTAGTTTAAACGGAGTAGGAGTGGGTAACATTTATACAGGTATAATCAACCAACATATAAATATAGAGACGCTAGAGAACTGCAAGGTTCCAACAGTAGACAAGCTGATTGATTGAAACAAATGGTAGCAATTTCAACAAGATTTGGCACCTACACAGCTCGCACAGTAAAAGCATGGATAAAAAAAATTAAAGTAGATTTATTGACCTGGCCAGCTCGGTTACCAGATATGAATTCAATAGAATCTATTTGGACTTAGATGGAAAAAGAATCTGTCAAAGTGCAAATACGATCCATAAACAGCCTAAAGCAAAAAATAAAAACCATTTGGAGAAGAGTTCCAAACGAAATCTGCAACAATCTTGTAAATTCAATGCAAAAAAGATGTGCTGCATGCAAAAAAGCTAGACGGATGTTTTAAATACTAGCTTAGATGTTATTTTTGTTGCTTTAATTTTTTATATAATATTTATTGATATTTTATTATTTTGATAAAGTTATTTAGAATTTACAATCTTTTAAAAAAGTGTAAAAGTTTTAGTACAGCAATAATTGCTTAATTAATGCTAAATATTTTTGTTTTATAATTGTATGAATGCTAAGTTTGATGACTATGCTTAATTATGCTTAACTATGTCTAATAAATAAGTAACTATGCTTAAACAAATAAAAGTGACAAATAAAGAGTTAACCAAATAAAGAGGTGACGTCAAAAACTGATTCAATTATAATCTATTTCATTCGAGCTTCATAGATGTTTTTACTTTACGATTAAAAAATTGTCAATTTTTAATCGATTTGTTTGTTTAATTGGTTTTATGATTTAACAAAGGTGAAAAATGCATTAAAAGTAAACTTTAACAAGGTTGTGTTAATCTCGTTTTTTGTTTAACATATCTTATTTAATATCTACACACTATTGGCATAATATTGTTGGTCGTTTATTTTTAAATTTTACTTATTTTGGGGGTTTATTATTCCTAACAATAAACCCCCAAAATCTTCAAACGTAAAACATAAAATTTTCAAAATGTAAAACAAAAAAAATGAAATTTTTGTTAAACATTTTTGTTTTAAGCCGGTATGAACATATGTAAAATAGTTGTTCGTACTACTTCTGGAATATAGTTTTATTTTAATCACCAAACAAACAAAAAATAAAAGTATAAACATGATGAGTTTTATATAACAACATCTGTTGTTTCTTAATCTGGTTTTTGTTTTGAAGATTTTTCTTTCTTTCATTTTTGTTTTTACATTTGTAAGGTTTATCTATTTTAATTTTTAATAATAACTATTTTAATTTCAGAATGTAGCGTGTGCTGCTAGCTACTGCGACAAACATGCTATTCTGGCATATCTATGAGTTTTACTCCGTCTTATCTAAAATATGTATGAAGGATCTAAAACATATTTTAAAACTATGGCTAGGCGCTGGGGACTCTAACTGTACCACTGATAATTCTAAGTTATGGAACCATTCAGGTTTCACTTCATTCTCTATTTTAAAACCAAATTGTTTTTGTAAATTTTTATTGGAATCAAAAATTTTAATACCTTTTTTAAGAATTACATAAAAAGCTTAACAAATATAAAATTTAATATAAAATTATTTAAGTTTATAAAAAAGAACAAGGAGAACTTTAAAATGTTTCCAATATCAATTTTACAATGGAAAGGAGGGGAATAGGAATTCGAATAGGAATGTGTGTTTCTACCCCGAAAGTAAAGACTTTGCAGATGTCTCACAGATATGAATTAAATGTCAATATACATATATATATATATATATATATATATATATATATATATATATATATATATATATATATATATATATATATATATATATATATATATATATATATATATATATATATATATATATATATATACATATATATATATATTGGGTGGCTAAATTACTATTGGTAGGGGAAGACGGGGAACATTTGACCACGGGGAATATTCGACTATTTCAGATATTTCCCAGCATGATGAAAATTACCACCTAAAATTTTTATGCATATTTTGTCTATTAATAAGCTATGGCGCGAAATAAGTATCGATCCATCTTTATTAGTATTAGAAGAAAATATAATTATTGTTATAAAAGGTAATTTTTTTATATTTTAAATAATCCGCAAAGAATCTCTTTTCCAACTTTAACCTTCTAAACTTTTTTATTGTTTATTGTTTAATGATATCTTAAGTTAAAAACCTTTGTGTTTGGTTTACTTCAAAAAATTAATTTTGGTTTTTAGCAGCATTTGTTTATATATAACACGTGTGGAGTACATTCGACCTACCTAGCTGGGGAACATTCGACCGGTGCTTAAAAATACCACGGTAACTTATTTCTCTTATCTTTTAGATGCCTCAAAAATATATAACAAAAAAAGATAGAAAAAAAATAAACGAAAATGTGGTAAAAACAAAAAATTATTAGTATTTTCAATAGTTCACTGTCTGAACCACAAGCCGCAAAAAGATTTCATGCCCAGATATGTCACAAATAGAACCCTAATGGGAGAACCAAGTGAAAGTCTAGGGATGATAGATACACCATTACAAAATATTTTACCACTCTTATCTACCGATAAAACGCATTCGTTCTTGCCTAAAGCTCCTCATAGACAAAACAAATAAAGAGGTAACTAAGTCAACGATATATGCTGACACTCCTGAAAAAGAAAAGATTGAGAAACTTCATTTGAAAAAAATTTAAAAAAAGAGGAAAAGTTATGAACCTGAAAAAAAAAACGCTTTTAAAGTCTGGAATCCTAATAAAGACGGAAAGAAAGGCAACGTTATTTTTGTTTCGATATAACTTCGCAAATCTTGTTGTAAAATAGCTATTACTAGTTGTTTTAAAATATTTTTATTTGTTCAATAAAACATTAAAAAAAAAAGCTTATAGATTTATTAGTTACTGAGGGGTCGAAAGTACCCGTCTAGGTGGTCGAAACTACCCTAGTGGTGGAGTACATTCGACCACTTTGAGACTTACCTTTAAAAGAGTGGCAGATTTAACAAAAATAAATATTTTGTATACATTATCTTTTTAATTTGTTTGTTTAAGACCATTACTTGTAATGCTAAAAAAATTTAATTGTTTCTGGCAAAAAATCTGTTGTAAATTAATAAAAACCAGCTAAGTGGTTGAATGTTCCCCGTCTTCCCCTACTTTACTTTTTTGAAATTTTAAAGTTTTTTGGAATTTTACGAGCAAATATATTGTTTTTAAATAATTTTTGTTGTGTATTTTAGTTACTGATACCATTATTATTGTTTTTAGATAGTGGCAATACTTTCGGTCCACCATATATGTTAAAAAGTTATCTTATTACTCATTTATTTGTAAATTGTTGAAAAGTGTGGTTAGAGTTTTTTAAGCTCAGGACTATCGAAACGTTAATAATTTAATTAGTTATGGTTAAAAATTCATTATTTTTGCTAATTTTAATGCATCGTAACCATTCTTACCTCTCATCGATTTTTTTAGTATAGGCAAGTTGTCACACTTAACTTCAAAGAAATTTTGGGAAGTAAAAACCTTACTTTTTTGTTCTACTAACTCTCAGAGAAAGATAGCAGCAATTACAAGTGTTTCAAAGTTGGTAATGAACCAAATCAAAAAAAAAAAAAAGATACAATTGTGCCCCTAGAACCAGACCGCGTTGGTAGAAGTGGTAGAAAAAAAGATCACTACTCAACTTCGTGACCGTAAAATTGAGAACATCTGTCTTAAAAACAGAAAAAATGTGTGGCTCAACTAACTACAATGATAAACGATGAAAGAATCAATGTCTCATGAAGGACCGTTTGGAGACGGTTGGCTGAAGATTTAATGGGTTGTTGTCTAATAATAAAACCAACAGCATATGACTATTGAAGACTGAAGTAGAGTACTTATTATTTATAATATTGTAATAAACCATAAAATTTATAGGTTTATAATTTAAAATATTTTTGTAATGTTTTACAGGCCTGCTTCTCGGACGAGTCAATATATCAAGTTTTGACGGACAAAAGCTTATTTATTCGACGACGCATAAGAGAAAAATTCTACAAGAACTGCCTTTTTTAAAAGGTTAAACATACTGTAAATGTAATGGTGTGGCCTGTGATATCAGCCAAGGCTATGGGCTGCCTCTACATTGTAGAAGGGACCATGAGGCAGGACCAGTACAAGCGAGTACTGGAAAACAGACTCCTGCCTCAGGTCCAAAATTAGTTCCCTGATAAGGAAGAGTATATGTTCATGCATAACTCAGTACCATGCCATAAAGCTAGAAGTGTTACGCATTCTTAACTGAAAAAAATCTGCGTGTTTTGCCATGGCCGGGAAACTCACCTGATATGAACCCGCCAAAGTAATCATCACTACCAAGCAGAAATTGGTAGAAATCTTTGTAGGAGAATGGCATAACAACCCAAGTCTCTAACCAAATGCAAAAGTCTGCATAGAAAGCATGGCCAGACGCCTGAGAGCCGTTATTGTAGCAAAGGGTTGTATTACAAATTATAGGATTATTATCTTATTTGTTATTTGAAAACTTTATATTAATAAATCAAATTAAAAAAAGAAGTAGTTATATTGTTTTATATTCTAAATGAAGACCTCTAATGATAAAAACGATATAAAATAACTACAAGATACGTATTTACTCATTTAATTAGTTTAAACTTAAAAACTAGATAATATATATATATATATATATATATATATATATATATATATATATATATATATATATATATATATATATATATATATATATATAATATATAAGATGCTTTAATCGTAAAACGTCGTGGAAGAGCATATAACCAGGACGTTTACGACTCCTTCTTTAGCAATTTCACTTATTGGGCTAGAGCCGGCAATAAACTTCGAACCTCTTGATCCTGAACCAGATTTCCAACCACTACGTCACAGCTGCTATAATGTTTTAATATATTAACGCAGTTATGGCGCAGAGGTTAGAGTTCTGGCTCAGAACGAAAAGGTTTCAGGTTTTAATGCCAGCTCTAGCCCAATAAGCGATCGTGATAAAACCATTAGATCTTCTTGGAATGCCTAAATTAGTATAAAAAAAATAAAATTATAAATAAATTATAACATTAAAAGCACAAAACTGTTTTAAAATGCATCTTATGCTTAAGAGAAAAATAAAAGGAGCAGCGATTTCTAAAAAGCTTTTTACGTAGTACAATAGCGAACATTTTTTCTCTATTTGAGAATTTTAGGTAAATATCCATTATATTATAGTTTTCAAAAAGCTTATTTAAATGAATTTATTACTAGAATTGCCATTAAAAAAAATCTAAAACAGAAGAACAAATAACAACAGGATATATTTTTGTATAAAGCAGTTGCAACATTTATTGAAATGAAATTTTTTTTTTTTAATACTTAGTGATCCCCCTCCTACAACAATTTCAAACCAAAAAATGCTCTTCCTTATTCCTATTATTTTTTTTTCTTTTGATTTGTTTCCATGTTATTTACTCTGATTAAAAGTTTTTTACACAAACACAGTTTAACACTCTATTGAGCCCATGTGTTAATTTATTTATAATTTTTGTGCAAACAGAAAAGTTTTGGATAAAACCGGCATCATTTTTACAATCTTTAAGTAACAAAAACGAGAACAAATGCAAATAGTGGTAGCAATAACAAATAAAGATATAAATAACTATTATAAAACATAAAACAGTTGTATTTGTTTACAAGTTTCTTTTTATTGAATAGTATAACCCAGCCCAATATTAGGATTAGGCGCTACATCAAGTTTTTTCAGAAAACAAATAAATTGTGGTAACAAACCTGAATTAAATTTACGCCTTCAAGTGTGCAGAGGCTTGTTAAACATATCTTTACAACAAGGAAACAAAATTTGAACAAACCATGCTAAAATATGTCAATGGGAAAAAACAAGTAACTTAGAAACAAACAGCTGTATTCAATATAATATAATATAATAGTGCTGTACACTTAAAGAGTGATGAGTCCAAACTACGTAGAGTTTGTAACTTTAACAGCTGTAACACACTAACATACAAACATAAAAAAAGTTAGTATTTAAAATGTTCATCCAATTTTTTTTTGATCTGGTTGATACTGACTGCGTCTATTGTTTCTTGTTCAAGATTGTTCCAGTCGTTTACTACTCTATTTGTGAAAAAATTATGTCGTTTTATATTTCCTGTATATTGCCTTCTCAGTTTACTATTGTGACCTCTAGTTTTATATCCGTTATCTAGCATTCGGGTTTTGTGTAAAAATTTATAATATCGTACCCTTTCAAATATTTGAATATTTGTATCAAATCGCCCCTTCTTTTTCTGTTCTCCAACGATAGTAAATCCAACTTCTTTAACCTCTCTTTATAACTGTATCCTTTCAAAATTTTAATTCTAGAAGCTCTTTGTTGGACACACTCTAGTTTATCTTTATCATATTGACGATAAAGATTCCAGATAGGAGCTGGGTATTCCAAATATGGACGTACTAAGGCTACAAAAAAGAGTTTCATTGTTTTTTCTTCTAAATATTTAAAAGTGTGTTTGATCTAACCTAGCTTTTGTTTTGCTTTATTTACTGCTTTATTTACATGGTGTTTCCATTCCAAATCATCTGAAATGTACACTCCTAAATCCTTTTCCATGCTTGTGTAGGCTAAAGCTGTATTATTCATTAATACCTGCTGTTAATTTAGTAAAGAACATGTTCAAAAACACTTGCTTTGTTCAAATATCTATGTTGGCTTTCAAATTATCTACTAATTCATTTTCTGACATCATTTATACTATAAACAGAAATAGTGCAAAAGTTGGTATGAATTAATTCTGGATAGACGTCTGAACAGGTGACTCTAAGAATTATGGGTCTACACTGATTTATCGATTGTTATGATAAATTATTCAAACATTGAATTAACATTAATTTTAGTAAAAAATTTTTAAGTATTTTTGTTTATTAAAAAAAAATCTCATAGTTCTTTAAGTAGTTCAGGTCTTCTACAAATAATAAAAAACAATATTGCTAGAGTATTTTGATTCCAAATTTGACAATTTAAAAAACAAACAGTTTCAGTTTTCAAAAGTTTAATTAAAAAATACATATATTTACTTTACAGAGTTTATTTATAAAACTCAAAGTTTATAAGTTAGAGAGGTATGATACCTACAGTAATAGCTAATGACTTTAAAGTATTTTTTTTTTTGAGTAAATTAATTATTCTGCAATGGAAACTAATAAATTAGTTTTTAATGATAAAATAATTAACAAGACATGTGTCCTTACCAAAGTATTTGGGAAAGTAAAAGAAAAAAAAAAAAAAAAGTAGTGCAACATAAATTTTTTTGATAATTTATGCTAACAAAGTTGAAATATTAGCTTTGTTGGAGATTAATGTTACGTACACTATTTATCATGTCAATAAGGTTTTAACTGTGAACTGTAATATTTACGATTTAAACAGAGTAGAAAAACAACAAAAAATTTATGTTACGACCAATAAATCGTTTAGTAGAGCTGAAAACTTAATTTTAAAAAAATGAAGCTATTTTGTTGATGTTAAAACAATTTTATTTTTTTGGGAAGTTGAGCATAAGTGTTTGTTGTTAAAATATATTTTTTGATGTTATTCTTTTTTTCCCTTAAATTTCATTTAAAGTATGCCGTCAACATCAGTAGATGAAGCATTTGTAGGAGCTGGAGAAGTACCTGGATTAGAAATCTGGAGAATCGAGGTAAGGGTAAATTATTAAAAAATAAAAAGAAAATATTTACTTATATAGATAAAAACAAAAATTTTTCTTTTAGGAAAAAAATTTATGAGAAAGGATTTTAACATTGTTTTTTTGTATGTCTGCAACAATAAAATCTATTAATTTTTGTATGTCTGCAACAATAAAATCTATTATATATGTGTGCAGCCTTTATTTTAATTACACAGACCTTGTATTGCTCCATTGAATATAAATTATTTTATATTTATTATAATTAAGATATTTCTATTTGTTTTATTTGCATTTCTTATTGAGCCGTTAATAAAACGGGGGAACTGTTGGCATATAAATGTAGAAATTTTAATTCTTATTAAACCATCGATAAAAAGTGAAACTATTGTTTTTTTGATTTATACTTGTTTTATCTTTAAAATGTTGAACCCAAAGCTATTTTAAAGTAACCCGAATTCCTTAGGCTTTCTTAAGTTATCTTATGTTTAAAATACACATAAAATACAGCATACAAAATAATTATTCGTCGCATGAGAATTATAAAGTTTTATCTAACATTTTTTATATTGTAAGAAGTTAACTTTCTTTACTTCACAGTTAAAATGTTTTACTGCTGTTATTCAGTATAGTTATAAACTATACGTCAGTGACGGATCCAGGGAGGAGGGGGGAGGGAGTATGCATTCTTCTCTCCCCCCCCCCCCCCACCCCTACCAGAATCTGAAAGTCCTAAAATATCTTAGAATTGGAGAACCATTTTTTTATTTTATTCCTAGACACTAATGTAATACAAAATAAAAAAAATGTTGTTCAACATCTCCCCCCCCCCTCCTCCACCAAAAATTCCTGTATCCGTCACTGCTATGCGTCGTTTATGTTATTTATATTTCATGAATAAACTTATTGTATTATTCATATAACTTTTAGGCTGTTTGTTTTTGTTATTAATTGTTCATTAAAACATTTTCTGGTAAATTTTTATAACTTACATAAAAGCAGATAAAACCTTATAAATTCGTATGCGACGTTTTGTAAGGTGTTCGAGCTAATTATTTAAAAAACAAAGTTGATTGACATAAATATTATAAAAAATTACTTAAAATATTTATTTGCTATATTAAAAACAAATAACCTGTTGAAAAATATAAATTTTTTATTTGACAGTAATAAACTTTGGTTGTTTATAACAATTTCAAACTTAGATCATCTTTACCAGAAGCAAACGCAAGTGTAACTGTAGCAATGGTAATCATAAATTCAAAAGCAATTAATAGTAATAATACTTACACTCTGCAATACTTACCAGCAAAATTTATGCAATCCTATTTTAGTCATGTATGAGAAATGTTTTTAATGTTTTTGTATAGTACATTTTACAAAGAAAATATGGTATACGCGTTTATACACTTTAATATATGTAAATTGCGTTAAAAACAGTAAAAAAACGTAAAACAGAGTGAAACATTGATATTGTTCTACATTTACTATTAAAGCTTATGTGCATACACGTGAGTAGTTTGATCTTGTATTAATAATATTATATATATACAAAAAAGTTTGTCTGTTTAAAAGTCACAGATATTTTAAATGAGCAGATTCAAAACAATTAAAAAATAAAATAAAATGCATAAAATCATAAACAAAACAGTTTCTTAAATACAAGACATAAATTTTGAGCGTCATTAAGGCGTTATTGTTAAGTGTTTGTTTATTTATTTTAAAAAAAAGTTAATTTCAGCAACTATTAAACATTGAAGAACATTGTTTTTCGTTTTTTGTTAAAACTGTTATTTCCGTAGTACTATCGATAATAATAATTAGTATTATCAGTAATCAAATGTGTTACCGATTATATAATTTATATAATTATGCAATAATACAAATTATATTCGGAATAAAATAATAAGCTTTTTATATGTATTTTTAAGCTTTAAAATAAATAACATTTATCTTTTCCTACTTATACCCTAATATTCTCCATTACATACATACACCCAAAACCACATGAACTTTACAAGTTTTTTGGTAAATATGTTATTTAATTCTATTTTAATTTAAAATGATAAAATTGTTTAGAAACTTTTCTAACATGTTTGTAAGAAAGACAAAACACTTTGTATCTGTCTTAACTCTTCTATTTTCACTTTTGAGGATATAATTAGGTAACTTTTAAGCATTAAATTTACGATGCTGATAACCAATTATCATATTTTCATTTGAAAAAACGATTATTCCAAATTTAAAAAGAAATTTAAAACTTAGCGTCACAAGTTATCGATAACCTTTTTTTTCCCTGCGAAAAATAACTTGATAAATAATATTGTTAATAACGAAATGAACTTCTTAGATACAACGTACTGAATGGTAATGACATTATGAAAGATAGGGTTTATGCCGAGTTAAGTCACGGAGTCATTTCTTTGATAATAATTTTAACTTTTTAATGTATTTAAACTTAAAAAAAAAGACAATGGTCTGACTATTAATCGGAAATTTTTTTTGAAAAAAAATTATTTTTATTTAGTTAACTTCATACCAAAATTTATTTTAATATTTCTATTTGATGTTTTTGTAACATGCAGTTTTGGTAGATTTTTATTTTAATATTTTTGTAACATGCATTTTATAGAAAGCAACTTTGTTTAATGACAAATAAATAAAGACATAATACAGGGCCGTCGACACGGGTTTCGAAGTGTGGGGGCACAACAGTCAATTCTTAAAAAAAGTCGTCTATATCTATTATTTTCTTATATTTAAAAAAAAAAAAGTCCTTTAGAAAAAATGGTTAGGGGGGGCAACACGTTCTCCTGGCCCCTCCGGTGTCGTCGGCCCTGTTATAAAACATAATAAATATTTTTTTGAATTCAGTTATTATCGCTTTACTATAATTGATGTGAAATAAAATGTTTAAAGGAAATACCAAGATATTTACAACTTATAACTAGAAAATTTTACATATTGATAAATATTACATTTTTGGTATTTGGTTCCGCTTATTTGCGGGATAAATTAGTAACATTCTTCAATTTTTATCAAAACAATCCGCGGATAGTTTTCTCATATTTTATACGAGAAACCGGAATTTTATTTCGGATACTTATTTAATTTTATCAAGAAGAATAAATATTGTTTACCAATTTTGAAGAATTTTAAACTAAAACTCGGTTTAAGACGAAGCTCTTTTTATACACAAATTTGATGACAACTGTTCAAAGAGCAAAAGTTGTCAGAGTTATAAAATGTTTTCCCAATATAGCATAACTTACATTTTAAAAGATGCAAAAATATGCCATTAAGTAATAATTTTCATATAGATTTTTTTTTTGCAAATTTTTTCTGAATGATGTTTCAATTATTTTATTTTATGTTTATATAGACAGTGTGCTAACCTACATCCTAGCTAACTCACACCCAATTTGTTTTAAGAAAGGGTCTATTCAACAAGGTTTGATTGATTATGGGTTAACATTTTTGCACTGATGTTGGTTAAAACATTTTTACTCAATCCTGTATTGAGTAATAATACACAGATAACAATACACAGGATGTCACATGGTGTATATAATGGTTTAGAATTAATTACGGACGTATATAAAAAGGAAAAAAATCACAATTTTTTCCTAATATTTTATTCGCGCTTTCTTCTCTTTAAATAGCCGTAAAGCTATTCCACGCTCGTCACAGCGTGACAACAGTCAATATATTTCCTCAGTTTGCAATGGGTGGAATGCAAGAAGCGAACTTGAGTCAAGCTCGACTTGAACTTTACATTGCAACCAATAGCGACAGAGTATGGGTTTTTCCCTCAAAAAATACTCTGCCGCTATTGGTTACAAAGTAAAGTTCAAGTCGAACTTGACTTAAGTTTGCTTCTTGCATTCCACCCATAGTAGTATTAAATAGATATAAAAAGCTATTTTCACATATATCATATTTAAAAATAGCTTTTTATATTAAAAAAATTAATGTACTTTTGGTATTTAGCTAAGCTTATATTAGGTGCTAGGTCTGAAAAAATGACTAAAGTATAAAAATACAAAAATTTGAAGTTTAGAACTTATCTGGAAGTTATATAACTCAAATACTGAATTCGGCAACAGTAAAATAAATAAAGTAAGAATTATTATAAAAATTTTCTTTTAAAACTTAAAAATAAAAAAATATGTTTGTGTCTTTTAAAATTAATAAATTGTTTTTTACACAATTTGTTAATGCTATACTTTTTATATTTTTATCAAAAACTCTGTTCTATAAACGAATTTCTTGTACAAGATTATCATTTACATTTAACTCTCGAGATGACGGAGGTGCAAAAATTTGAACAAATTAGTAGCCTGTTTGTAGCCCTGGAAACGTGACTGCAGCTGATATATTGCTGTGTCAATAATAGAATAAAAAACATTCACTTTAAACAAAAGTTTGCCATCTTGAATCCGATGATGTTGTTGTAAGTCGTCATGGAATAATCAAAGAGAATACATAAAAATGTTAGTAGTGTTCCTGTTTACAGCTTGTCAAAAAAAGGTTTAAGGAAAAGCAAATTGCGTTCAACTTTCAAGTTTCCTGAAGAGTAAAATGAGCAAAATAACTCGCTAAATACTGGTTGTCTATCTTTGCCTTTCTCAAATGGTCTCACTGGCCTACATGGCCCATGCTGCAGAATAGTTTTTGTCAAATTGGAACTATTTATTATTTGAGGAAAGATACCACGATTAGTTAAGAATTGAGCCGAAGAAACAAATGAATTCATTTGTATATCTTTCTGATACACGTGTTCACATGTTGTCGGAAGAGATTTAAAGGGGAGAGAGGCATGCGACGTATTTGTGTTTTTGCTGACTAAGGCTAAAAACTCGTTAGCTGACATTTGTCGACTGCCAACTATAGATCCAATTTTGTCGACTCCGGTGCCAACTAGTAAATTTAGTAGGAGGCCTAGGCACCCCCTTCGCCTCCCTATACTTTTTGTTTTTTTTCTTTCCGTTTTGGAGCCTCTGATGGATATA